TCCATATATAAGGCGCACTGTCGGCTTTTGAGGAAATTAAAGATTTTTAGGTGCGCCTTATAGTGCGGAAAATACAGTATATTCAATATGTAATGCCAATATACTTAAATTACTCTCTAAGCATGTTTTAAATGTAATTCAATCACAATAATAGTACACTCAAAATATACTGCTGTAATGAAGCACGTTTGTATTACATAAAAAATACACTAAGTTCAACTTAAGTTGTCCCAAAAAAGTACATCAAAGTATGCTTGGTACACTTTAAATTATACTTTAATACTATTTAAATAGTGCTAAAGTACACTAAGCACAAAATTAGTTGTTCCAAAATGTCACACTTTAAGGTAACTAATCCTAAGTTTAGTTGAAGTATACTCTTGATTAGTCTGATTTAAAGTATGCTCAAGTATGTTAAAACTTAACATACTTTGATTATTTTTTCACCAGGGAATTTTGTGTTTCTATTTATATAAATATGTATTGATATTACAAAATAATATATTTAAAACATAACTGGTTGTGTTCATTGTAAAATGCTCATAATACAGCAAAATCAAAACATTCTATTCCGAATCTATTCTGTTTTCCCTACTAAGAATAGTTAAATATGCTCAACCTTATATCAGTCATTCAAAATACTTTTAAAAAATAATTTCTTTGTAAATGTAACTATGATAGCTGTATTAATAAGGTTAACAGCAAAAATGGTGAAAATATGTTTAGTATTTAGCGAGTTATGATTGATAAATAAAACATCTGCGAAGCTCATAGTCGTCGGTCTCGGACTAAATTATACTGATTTAGGATTTAGCCATTGTATTTTAGTGGTGAGTCAGATCATCCATATCATTATGATATACCTGACGATACTTTCAGTCACTGTGCTCTAGTGGTATATTATGTATGTCAGGCCTGCATGGATCTGTTAAATAGGGCAAATCTAAATTGCTAGGTCCAAAGTGATGGGCACACTTCGGCAGGCCCCAGTTAAATGTTGCTCCATTACCAGTACCTATACTGACAGAAAATGGACCCACAGTTCTTCCTGTCTAACTTAGAAAAGTAAATAACAAAGGAACAAAAATTAGACAATTATTAACCTACAAATAAACTCTGTAAATAAACCCCAAAGTTAAGTGGACTAAAATGAAATTGTAAAACAAATAAAAGTAATGAAAGTTAAGTAATATCTTGAAATAATAACATTTATAACAATGCTGACTATAATAATTTTATAATAAATAAAAATATTTTTTTAAATATTCGTTCATTTGAGAATTCTCCATTTATCAGCTGGATTTGTCGACTGATTTGTCTCTGTCTATGCTCTTAAATTTTTAGGTGTGGTTTTTTTTCGTTTTTCTTTTCTGTCTTAAACAATGAACAATTTCTCCCATTTACTTCAATAAAGTTAACAATTCCTCTGTTTTCTTGTCCAGATTCCCTGTGGTGTAACGTTTATAACCAGGAGAGGAGATCCACTCTGGGCCAGGAGGAGTTAGAACCTCTGCAGGTGAAACAAGAACAAGAAGAACCAGAAGATCATCAGATAAAAGAAGAACGGGAGGATCTAGAACATCACCAGATAAAAGTGGAAGAGAAAGAAGTTTACTGCAGTCAAGGTGAAGAACAGGTTGAGTTAAAACAGGAGACTGATACCTGCATGTTGGTTCCTGTTGATGAGCAAACATCCCACACGAAATCAGAACCAAACGGGAACCCAGTCACCTTCCAGGAAGCTGCTGAAATTGAGAACCAAAATCAGGAAAGAAGAAAACCTTTCTCATGTGTGACCTGTGGAAAACGTTTTAGTCTAAAATGGAGTTTAACTCAGCACATGAGGATTCACACTGGTGAAAAGCTGTTTGAATGTGTGTCTTGTGGAAAAAGTTTTAGTCAAAAACAGAATTTAACTCGGCACATCAGGATTCACACCGGTGAAAAGCCATTTTTATGTGTGAACTGTGGAAATAGTGTCAGGCAAAAACAGCAATTAGTCCAGCACATGATGATTCACACTGCTGAAAAGCCGTTTTCATGTGTGACCTGTGAAAAAAGTTTTAATCGAAAACAGCTTTTAACTCAGCACATGAGGTTTCACACTGGTGAAAAGCCGTTTTCATGTGTGACCTGTGAAAAAAGTTTTAATCGAAAACAGCTTTTAACTCAGCACATGAGGTTTCACACTGGTGAAAAGCCGTTTTCATGTGTGACCTGTGAAAAAAGTTT